AGAAAGAAAGAAAGAAAGAAAGAAAGAAAGAAAGAAAGAAAGAAAGAAAGAAAGAAAGAAAGAAAGAAAGAAAGAAAGAAAGAAAGAAAGAAAGAAAGCAAGCAGGCAGGCAAAAGCTTTTCTGAACACAAAAGCATACACAGTATTATACTTTTTCTCTATTTTTTCTATTTACATATGCAATTGTAAATATTTTATTTGCATATAAATCTTTAGTATAATATATTTTTGAGACAGTGCTTCACTATATAACCCTAGATACATGCAGTTACAGAGACCACAGTGGCCTTGAACTCACCGAGATCCGCTTGTCTCTGCCTCCTGAGTGCTGAAATTAAAGATGTGTACCTTTAGAATCTATATTTATTGTTACTCTTTCCTAACAACTATGGGTAATATAATTTTATAAACATAAAAGTTGTCTATATATTTCTTTAAAGGTTCACAAGTCTAGTTGGTGCATAAGGTTTTTTTGTTTTTGTTTTTTGTTGGTTTTTGGTGTTTTTTTTTTTTTTTTTGGTATTTTTGAGACAGGGTTTCTCTGTGTAGCTTTGGAGCCTGTCCTGGAACTCACTAGATAGACCAGGCTGGCCTCATATTCATAGAGATCCACCTGCCTCTGCCTCCCAAGGGCTGGGATTAAAGGCGTGTACCACCACTGCCCGGCTGGGGTGCATGAACTTTGCTTAGTAGATGAAACATGACCATATGAACATACAAGTCCTCAATGATGAGATGTTTTATTTTTTCATAAATTACACGGTCAAAATATTGAAACTTAAACAGAATATGACAGAAAATGAGAGACCACAAACTGTGAGTAATAACATTTTATAATTGTGTGATCCATTTACTGTTCAGCATGTAAGATACAAGAGGAATGAGTAATATTTAAAGTGTGGCGGGAGAGACAACTCAGTATTAAGAACACTGGTTGCTGTTGCAGAAGACCAAAGTTCTGTTCCCAGCACCCACATGGAGACTCACAATCATCTGTAACTTCAGTTTCAGGAGATCCAATGCCCTCTTTAGACCTCCACAGGCATTGGCTGCTGTGAGATATTCTGTATGGCAAGTGTATTGCTCTGATTGGTCAATAAATAAAACACTGATTGGCCCATGGCTAGGCAGGAAATATAGGTGGCATTAACGGAGAGGAGAAAAGAAAGAACAGGAAGGCAGAAGGAGACACTGCCAGCCACCGCCAGGACAAGCAGCATGTAATGATGCTTTGTCATAACCAATGAGCCACGTGGCAAGGTATAGATTTATAGAAATGGGTTAATTTAAGATATAAGAACAGTTAGCAAGAAGCCTGCCATGGCCATACAGTTTGTAAGCAATATAAGTCTCTGTGTTTACTTGGTTGGGTCTGAGCAGCTGTGGGACTGGCGGGTGAGAGAGATTTGTCCTGACTGTGGGCAAGGCAGGAAAACTCTAGCTACAATTGGCCATGCAGATGGTATACATACATACATGTAGGGAAACACCCATACCCATAAAATAAAATAAATATGTTTAAAGTATTTAGGGTGACATACCTTTAATATCACTTTTCTCTAAGTCTTTTAGTGCTTGAACAAATGTCAGCTGAGTTTCAGTCAGAGGCCAGCTGTTAAACAACACCAAGCACTGTATGATATACTTGTAGCACTGTGAAAGGGAAGGCAGTGAGTCAGGACAAGAAAAAGAAGCCATGCAGTACGTGCACTGACAGACGTATTAGGTCAAGCATATGATGTGTCATTTTATGAATCATACAATCATAGGTTAATTAAATGATAACATTTTTTCCCAAAACTTTCTGTGGTGGTTTAAATAAGAATGGCCCCCATAGGCTCATGTTTGAATGCTTTGGTGCCAAGTCGGTGGAATTGTTTTGGAAAGGATTAGGAGGTGCTGCTTGTTGGAGGAGGTGTGTCCTTGAAGGTGGACTTTGAGGTTTCAAAAGACCATGCCAGACCTAGTCTCTGCCTCCAACTTGCAGATAAGATGTTAGCTCTCACCCACTGCTCCAGTACCACACCACCTGTTGCCATGCTCCCCACCATGATCACTCACACTCTGAAAGTAAGCGAGCCCCCAGTTAAATGCTTTCTTTTATAGGTTGCCTGGGTTATGGTGTCTCTTCACAGCAGTACAGCAATGACTGAGACAGTCTCTGACACTCAGTAAAAAACGTGTTTGGCATTCTCCATCCCAGCCACTGCCTCTATCATCTAAGTTTCTAGTTTTCACCTGTGTGATGGGCATAAAATAAAATCTCATTTCTGTCATATTTTCATACTTCCTTATATTATTTCAGAGGGTGAGTATCTTTTCAAAGTGGTTGGCTGTTAGGATTCTCTTTTCTTTATACTTAAGTCATAAAACCCATCCCCTGCATCATCTGTGTCTGTTACTGCTTTTATGGATTAAATTTCCCACTTAAATCTGTAGCACACCTTGAGCCCACCTTTATTATAGTGTTAGCAGTGACAAGCAAGTTCCTTAGCCTCTAATAGGTTACCTTTTCTCCTTTGGCTAATAGTTTCACCTCTATATTAAAAAAAAATCCGTGTTTCTTTTTATGATCACTAGTTTTATGTTAACTTTGAAGGGCTCTAGCAGGTCCAAGCATGGCAAACATGGTACCAATAGGCTTTGCCTTTTACCCCTCTTGACTTTGCTAGACCATTAAATTACATTCCTAAAGCTAGCCCCCAAGGTCCGTTCCTTTATTTGGCCACGGACTCATTCCTGAGACAGAACCTCAAGGCACAACTATTGAAACACCAAGGTCCAGCAATAAAAATTTCTAATTTTGACTAACTTAATTAAAATACCCAATCAGAACTTACCAACACATCCTAGGTCATTCTAAGACAGAACTCCCCCTTTCCTCTCTTAAAATTAACACTTGAAAAACTATTTGCTGTTGTTTCTGCTGGATTCAGGATTCAGACTCAGTCATCTTGTCTCTGTGCCTTGCTTAATAAAGGATCTCTTTGTGTTTGGTTTGTGCTTGGAAATTGGTGTTTGGGTATGGTGTGTGCTTAATTCGGGTCCCAAAGGGTAGCAACCCACAGTGCACAGGTCTCTTCAAACTTGGCATAGGGCTAGAGTTATTTGAGAGATGGGAAACTCAATTAATAAAATTCCTCCATAAAATTGAGCTACAGGCAAACCTGTAGTGCGTTTTCTTAATTAGTGATTGATGTGGGAGGGGGGCCCATTCTGCTGTGGGTGGCACCACCCCTGGGCTGGTGGTCCTGGATTCTATGAGAAAGCAGACTGAACATAAACAACCGGGTCATGTCACATTTAGCAAGGGAAAACTTTGAAGGTATTATAATTGCAATTTTATTGCTTTATCTCTTTCCTCGGAGTATTATCTTCTTACAAATGAGTTTTGTCAAATTTCCTTCTCACTCCCCACCAGCTCCTCATTTCTCCCCTGGCCTGAGTGTCTAATTCTGCAAGAACAGACTCGTCCACACTACTCAATGGCCTTGAAATCCCATCCCATTTTCTTATGTTTATAAATTCATGCCTTCTGTGTTTCTCTTGGTCTTATGAGTAGCATACATTTGCTGTGGGACGGTCTATATGTCAAATTGCTCTGATTGTCAATAAATAAAACACTGGTTGGCCAGTGGCCAGACAGGAAGTAGGTGGGACAAGGAGAGAGGAGAATTCTGGGAAGCAGAAGGCTAAGGCAGAGAGACACCGCCAGCCACCGCCATGATCAGCAGCATGTGAAGACGCCGGTAAGCCACCAGCCACGTGGCAAGGTATAGATTTATGGAAATGGATTAATTTAAGATATAAGAACAGTTAGCAAGAAGCCTGCCAC